TTTTAATTTGTGCCTGCCTATTAGATTTGGGTTTGGTTTGGTTTCTGTGATTATGGCAATGCCTCAAGGGCTATATGCCTAAGGTAAGGAATGCCTTCGTGGAGGACTTTCTAAGGAATGGGGTTATTGGGATTATTAAATTATGGCAAAGCATACGAGGGCTATCTGCCTAAAGCGAGGGATGCCTTTGTGGAGGACTTTCTAAGGGAAACTGGCTCGTATACACGTTACACATGGGGAAAACCACGAAAACGCCCATGCAGGCAGCCCGTTTGCGATACTTTCTAAGGAAAACTGGCTCATGTACATGTTACTTATGGGAAAAATCACGAAAACACCCATGCAGCCAGCCTGCTTACGGGATTCGAACTTCAGACTAAATTACCAGTGTTCAGTGACTTTACCACTCGGCCACTGGTAGGCCTCCTTCCTATTAGATAGTTTATTTCTATTGATTTTAATTCTATATATTTCATCTTATATACAATTAAATATGGGAATGTTTTAGTTTAGGTAATAATATTTCTGTTGTTATTTAGGATGCGTTGGCATTAGTACGTTTGGATGAGCTATTCTTGGAATCTTTTGACATAAAAGATGGTAAGTTTTGTAATAGTATTTTGATCTTTTGAAGTCATTGTAAATTCCTCCATAGAAAATGAAAAGGATTTTTTGTAGAATTATAATATTTCAAAGAGAGACATATCGCATGGTTAAAAACACAAAGTGCTATAATTTAATCACATAATGTCTCACTTGTAATAAAAATTGTTAGTTTATACAGATATCTGAAATTATTTTTGTTAATACATGATGTAAGCAATAAAAATGGGTTTATTTAATTGATTTATGTACATTAAAGCATATCAAATCAATAAATATTAATGCAGAAAAGGTAATTTTGTAGAATATAGACTAGATTTTAACAGTTTCTATATTTTGAAATTTTAAAGCTTATAATGAGCATATGAAGACAGAATTTTATATGTCGGGGATATAACTAATTTTGATTAATCTTAAAACTGTATTGCTTTTATGCAAGTTCCATAACTAAATGAAATTTAATTATCCTGGATTAATAACTTAATAAATACATATTTACTAAAAACTAAAATGTTTAATTTTATAATTACAAGATTATGCCTGTTTTTAATAATTTTAACACATAAAATGAAAAAATTTTCAGTCATAAGATAAATTTATTCAAATCATTTTTTGACTTGGTTGCATAATTAAATCTTTTTAAATTTAGTTTTAAGTTTCATTTAATATAATTTTTCTTTAAAATCTTGCTTCTTATTTCTGTATATTTTTAACAGGGCTCATACAATCTTTAAAAATACTTAAAAGGCCTTAGGGATTTTGGAAACAATTTTTGGTCCTTATGCTACTGGGGAAAACTGGAAAAAGTCAGGGAATTCGAAAATTGACCCAAAAATGTTGGAGAAAAGTCAGGGAATTTCAAATGGCGATCCTCCAAAAAGCAAGTTTTGTGCCGACGTTGGAAGCAATCACGTTCTTGCTTTGCGTGAGCATCATTGAAGCAGCAGGCTTAGAGCCAATATTAGCAGCTCCTATCAGATTGTCTTTTAGAAAGTCCAAGTGAGGTCCACTAACCTCGAGAATCGAGATACTCGCATGTGCAGTGCATGTTGAACTAACGAAAATACCTTCACATTTTCGTATAAGACAAAATTCATTTAATCCTAGTACACAGGATTTGGCGCCATTATGAGGAACAGTAAACTGGTCATTTCGGTGTTGGCGACAATTTTCAAAACTGTGCCAAGGCTGTAGCGTATACTAGTATTTTACCCTAAAATCTTTTAAACTTTTTTTTTTTAAATAAATGCCTTATTTGTCATTTGAAGTAAAATAAAAAATAGTAATCAGTCATCTAGGCGAACCATTTAATATAACTATGTTCGCCCAAAAATCGTTGATTATTCTAATTCAATTTTTAAGTAATTAACTTTATTTTAATGTTATGCATATCTTTTAATACTGTTTCTTTCCTCTAAATTTATTTATAATTAGTTAATAATACTTCAGATTTAAGGCAATTTTCTATGGCATAATCCTAAAACTAATTCTAGCAGTATGATGACATACTATCACAAAATTTAATGCACATATTTTTTGCTTGTGCATGTATTATTTCTAATCCATAGCATCATTTCAGTAAAAAACAGATCATTCAAAATTCTGGATAAACAAATGAAGAAAGGTTGCTTACATTCATTATCAGCGTTCTTCGATTTTGCTTACATTCATTATCAGCGTTTTTCGATTTTGGTCCACCGCTTTGGTAGACTATCCGATTTGCTTTCAAAACTCATCTAAAATTGGCACTATTTTGTATGAATCACTTTATTTGACATTTGACACAAAAGAGGAACAATATCTAAATCATTACACTATCAAAAACACTTCTAACTACTTAGCAGCATTGTCTATTATTCTAAAAAGCATACACTTATCGTTGCCAGTTCTCAAAAAACAAACTTTCTTTTTCAATTCTCGTCGGTCTGGAGGCTCGATCCGTTCCACAAGAGAGCGGAGCGTGCGTCGTTCGCGACACACTCCCCCCGATGAGTTTCACCAAGTTGAAACTCAGCCACAGTCTGGTTGAAAGTTCATGAGGTTTAATCGTTCAGGAGTTCGAATCACTCGTCCACATCTAGTTGTTTTGAGGGGATTCTGATTGAGTTCATCTGACTGATCTTTGTCAGTGGCACGAAACTCTGTAGATCCAATAGAAGTTGTAGGCTTATCACACATTTTTTGATCAGAATGCTTCTTTCTCAAACAGTCTCCTATATTATCCGTTTGTAAATGGACTTCCAACGGATAAATTCGTTGTATGGGTCGAAGGATTTCGCCACTTTTGGTGCGTAATTTTACTAAACGAACTACACACCATCATTTCCTGGGATGAGTGTTATAATTTTTCCTAGAGGCCACTTAATTCTTTTCTCAGGTGTTTCTATTAACACAATGTCTCCAACCGATAGTTTAACACATATTTCTCTGTTTTTAAAATATGGTTTTTCAGTTGTCCTAAGTATTCAGTTCTGAACCGTTTTCTTAGATCTTCTCTAACCTTCATCTGATATGCATACCTTTTTTGTAAGTATTTGGCATCAATAATATCTAGATCTGGAACGCCACTTTCTTTTAGATCACGAAAAAACATTGCAGGTGTCAAGGGTTCCAGTTCCAAGTCCTCGGAAATATAAGTTAATGGTCTGCAATTTAAGATATTTTCGCAATCACAGAGGATCGTATAGAGTTCTTCATATTTCAGTGAGGCATTACCTAAAACTTTTCTGAGAATGTTTTTCATCAGGCCAATCATTCTTTCCCAAAATCCACCCCACCAGGGAGAAGCTGGTGGGATAAATTTCCACTTAATGCGGTTGACAACATGATTTTTAATAAGTTTATCCCAGTCAATCATTTTTAAGAGCGAATTTGTACCAATAAAATTACTACCGTTATCAGTGTAGACAATTTCAGGTCTTCCTCTGCGTGCTATAAAACGTCGGAAAGCCAATAAAAAGTTATCTGTTGACAAAGACGTTAAAAGTTCAAGATGAATTGCCCTGTATACAGCACACATGTAAATAAAACGATCCACGTTTTCGATCCCATTTTTTAAAAACAAAGGGCCAGCTAAGTCGATACCTGTCACTTCAAAAATAGAAGAATCTTTAACACGGTCCTTTGGCAAAGGTGCGGATTGTACCGTGGAGGGCCTCGAATCAAATCTTCTACATTTAGTGCAGTTTTTCAACACTTTACGAATAGTTTTACGACTTTTCAAAATCCAGAAATTTTCTCGTAGCATTGCCATTAAAGTCTGAGTTCCGCAATGCATTTGTTGTTCATGTTTTTCCATAATCAGTTTAGAGACAACTGGATGTTCAGGAGGTAGGATTACAGGTGTTTTCTAAAATTTTCGAAGTCTTGTCTCATTAATATTCTTGACTTTACTCTTAAAAGACCAGATGAATCAACAAATGGTTTTAAATTTCGTAAGCGTTTATCCTTTTCTGTTTTAAAGGAGACCCTTTGCACAATTTTCCAAACAAGGAACTTCAGCTGCATTCAATTCTTCGATTTCTAAGTTCTTTGACGTTGTTCTGTTTTTATCTCTGCAGTTATCAATATACCTTTTTATCCAGGCTGTAACTCTAATTATTTTCTCAAAAGAAGAAATTCGTGAGAAATGCGAAAATTCTTCATCTACATTTGTTAACGAGGATACAACTGTTTTTCTTCTTCTTTCTCGATCAATCATATCTTTGTCAGGAGAAATATCACAAGTAGGCCAACAGTCTGGATTCAACTTCAACCATGCTGGACCTTCATGCCATCTTTTGGCTTTAATAGTTTCAACAGAACATCCTCTTGACGGAATATCCGCAGGATTCAAGTTGCCAGGAACATAATTCCATGCATCAGGATTAGTAAGAGCTCGTATTTCTTTCACTCTATTCATAACAAATACACCCCAATTTTCTTCATTCTTAATCCAGTACAATGTGTTCCTTGAATCTGTCCAATAAAACGTAGGTATATTTTCTTCTTCCTTCAAATCTTGTTTTATAGATTTCATTAATCTTGCACCAACAACACAAGCTAATAATTCTAGTCTACAAATTGATGTGGGTTTTAGAGGAGCAACTCTAGATCGTGCTTGAACTAAATGACAAGAAACTTTATTTTCATTTTCATTTCTTAAATAAACGCAGGTTGCATATGCCATTCGGGATGCATCACAAAATATATGAAAGGATAATTTCAATTCAGAATCAATATTAAGCATCATCTGTCGAGGAATTTTTATTTCTGTTAAACGATTTGCATCATTTTTCCATTTCATGTATTTCCTTTGAATTTCTTCAGGAAGAGCTTCATCCCAAGTTACTTTTAATTCCCAGCAGTTTTGTAACAGAATTTTAGGAATTAAAATTATAGGGCAGGTGAATCCAATAGGGTCATAAATTTTATGAATTTCAGACAAAATTGTTCTTTTAGTAACAGGTTGTTTTTTTTTTTGATTCATTTAATCCCTTAATATCACAACTTAATGTGTCATCATGCAAATTCCAAAGAAGTCCCAAAATGTTGACCGTTTTAGCTTCACAAGGATCATCGAAAAACTCATTCTCATTTAATTTATCAAGCTTCGACTGTTCTAAAATGGGTTCAACAACAAATGCATCCCTTTTATTTCGAGGATAGTTATATGCCCACTCTTGTAATTCAAATTTAGCACTTGCCAAAATTTCAGTGGCATCATTTTTTAACTTCTTTAATTCTGATTCATCATTCACACTTGTAACTAAATTATCAACGTACCAGGATTCTACTAATTTATTAGCACTCGCACGATAATTTTCTGGTACTTCATCATTCATTAATTTCGTTAGTGTTGCATTTAAGAGAAATGGACTGCTGGTTATTCCAAAGACCACTCTTCTATGCCTGTATATTTTCAAACGCTCAGAATTTCCCTGTTCCCACCATAAAAATCTTAAATAATCTCTGTCTTTAGGATTAAGTGCTATCTGCAGAAAAGCCTTCTTAATATCAGCGCTCAACGCCAATTTTTCCCAGTCGAAATCTATTTATTATAGCTGGAACAGTATCAATCAAATTTGGACCCTTTTCCAAACAGTCATTTACGGAGGGTGATCCTTTAGTTCTTACGGATCCATCGAAAACCGGTCTTATTTTTGTCGTGGTGGAATTCATTCGAATAACAGCACGATGGGGTAAATAATGAGAGGGGTTATTAACTTCTTCTTCTCAGGAACAATCTCTATTATTTTATCATCTTCCCAAGATTTAAAAATTGCGTTATAATCTTCTAAAAATCCCCCATCCCTTAAATTCTTCACTGTGCTCTTTAATCTCTTTTCTGCTATTTCTCGATAGTTTGGAAGTAGGGAACGATTTTCAATCCAAGGTAAACAAACTTGAAACCTTCCTTCTTCTTCATCTCTTTTCACATTGGAAAGAAAATGTGTCATTGTTTGTTTTTCTAATTCTAATTCCCTTTTAGTTTGACTTTCTGAAGGGTCTAATATCCCAAGAGTATCAAGTTTCCATAAATCAGAAATTTTACTATCTGATACTAACATAGAAAATGCATAAGAACAATCATATTTATTTTCCATTTCTACGGGAATTTTCCCCATGATACTCCAGCCTAAATAAGTTTCAATGCAAACTAATCCACATTCTAACTTCTTTATTTTCCCTGTAAGCAATTTTCCCGCTATGTCTGCGCCTATGAGGATATGAATTTCAGAAGGAGAATGCTCGAACAACAATTTTTTATGCCTACCTTCAACATCATTCAAAAATATGTTATGGGTTTTTAACTCATTTAAATAAGGCTTGATGTTCAATTGTGGAATATCAGAACAAATATTCGCTTGATCAAAAGCTTTGAAGTTACACTGATAATCGTTTTTGATACTACTTAAACGTACAACGAACTGTTTATGAGTTTCAACCACTTCAGTTCCTCCGAACAGACTATGAATCACACTGCTTTCGTTAATACATTCGTACTGCATAGCATTAGCTAAGAATTTAGATACATAGCTTCGTTGACTCCCAGAATCAATTAAACAGCGGCAGTATTTTTCTGGACCATTGCCACGCACTCTTACAACTAAAGTTTGTAATAAAACTTTCTCTAAACATGATTTGTTCGTCAAATTGAGATCCTTCTTATTTGATTTTTTCTCATCTAAACTATTTCTGTCACAGATTAAACTGTTGTGTTTCCACCCACATGAATCACACTTTATCTTCGAAAAGCAATTTTTTGCCAAATGGTTACCCCTTTTAAGGCATAAATAACACATTCCGAGTTTCCGAAGTGACGCCTTTCTGTCTGTTACAGACTTCGGGCAAGCTTCGGAAGTATGTTTTTCTTTTTCTGAATCCTCGCAAAATATGCAGCTGTTAATTGAAACCTTTAACACAGCAGCCGTTGGAATAGAAATTTTATTTATTCTTTTTTCTTTAGGAAAGTGGCTCGAATTATGGTTGTTTATTTTATCTTGAATTTGTAGCATGGATTCGCGGCACTCAATTTCCGTTTTCAAGAACTCTAATAATTCGTTTACATCGAAATTATCTTTCGATTTCCTTTTTCTTTTGGAAATCAAGATTCAGTTCATTCGGAATTAATTTTAATAAAACTGGTGTCAATAACGTGCCATATGTGCCAGAAGTTACATTAAGTGATTTTAAACTTCTTATCTGTATTTCGATATCATCATACAACTTACGTAATGCAAATATGTTGTTAGCATTCCTAACAGGTTCTAAATTTAACAGTTTTCCCATATGTGCATTTATAATTAAATCTGTTCGACCAAAGCGTGTTTTAAGTAACTCGATTGCGGCAAAATAATTTTCACTTGATAATGCAAAACCACTAACAGCATTACAAGCAGCACCTGATAAAAATGATAATCAAATAATTAAATTTGTCTGTATCTGTTAAATCACTATTCTGATGTATCGCATTGTCAAACTGGTTCCAAAATGATAACCAATTAACAGGATCGCCATTAAATTTATTGATCGATAATTTAGGCAATTTAATTTTTGAATGAGATACAGAAATATTTGAAATATCATTATTCACAATATTACCAATTGTATTCGAAACAGGAATTTCAGGTTTCCTATTCTCTTTTAACATAAATGTTAGTTTTGATTTCATGGAAATTATTTTCTCGGAATAAACTTCACAAGTTTCAAATTCCGATTCATATTCAGTAGCCTCAATTAATTCTTGTATTTGTTTATCTAATTCTTTTAGGCTGTTATATTTTGAATCTAATAAATCAATATTTTCATTAAGAATACACAAATCGTGTTCTGTTTCTTGGAGGTATTCTTTACAATTATTTATCAACTTTGTTGTCATACTCCTAACTACACAGTTCGTCTTTTCTTTAATTCTTCTATTTTAGTAGACATGTTTAAATATTTCAGATAGAAAATATTTCAAATTAAAAATCAGTACTCTCAAATCATAAATAAACTTCTCAAATCAAAAGGAGATATTTTTTAAACATTCCTAAATCTTTCACTTCAATATAGTCTACATCGGCGGTCCCTGTTCGGGCGCCAAAAAATTTATATCGTTTCAATTCAGTAAAAAACAGATCATTCAAAATTCTAGATAAGCAAATGAAGAAAGGTTGCTTACCTTTATGATCCGCGTTCTTCGATTCTGGTCCGCCGCTTTTGTAGACTCCGATTTGGTTTCAAACTCATCTAAAATTGGCACTATTTTGTATGAATCACTTTATTGACATTTCACACAAAGGAGGAAAAATATCTAAATCATTACACTATCAAAAAACACTTCTAACTACTTAGCATCATTGTTCTACATATCTAACAGCGTCATTATTCTCTACTGCGTCACTGTTCTAAAAGCATACACTTATCGTTGCCAGTTCTCAAAAAAAAAACAAACTTTCTTTTTCAATTCTCGTCGGTCTGGAGGCTCAATCCGTTCCCCAAGAGCGGAGCGTGCGTCGTTCGCGACACTGACAAACGTGCACCGCACCTGAGCCTTCAGTAGCAAAGTCGGCGGCAAAATAATTTTAAAAGGAGCATATCTTTAGAATTTCCGATACACAGTTCCGCGCCCGCTGGAGGTTCCCCCCTGCCATAGAGTGTTGCCATTGCTCGCTTTAAATCGTTGAGTTTGTTACTCAAAAAATTCGTTGAAAGTTTTACAAAATATGAAATCGATAATTAAAACAAATTCCAAATTTGTTCTTCACATGCCCATATTCGTAGGAGGAGGACGTCATTCAAAATGCGATGGCTCTATGTACCATGTTACCATTG